TACGCTCTCGCTGCAAGGCGCGCGACCGCGTGAAGAAGGCGGCTAAGCGCTCCATGGCCACCGGCAAGGTGCGCCGCATTGCCAAGCCCCGTCGTGCTGCTCAAGGGCTCTGGCGCACAGGCAGCTCGCCCCAGGCGCTCTACGGGCACCAGCAGATGGGAGTTCCTGAGTACGAGATCACGAATCTTCGACGGTAAGCGGGGCGATCGGTTGCTGGTCAGGGCCCAGGTCGCTGCTTGACCACGACCTTGGCCATGGCTATGGGCGACGGTGTCCCAGCCAAGGCCGTCCGACACCAGCAGTTCACAGCATGGCTGACGATGTGGAGGCAGCATCCCGAACTCCATCCTCGCATCCAGAAGGCCTGGGACACTGTCGCCCCGAGGATCAAGCAGGCGGGCCAGCGCAAGTGGCGACTGGCCAAGGGGCCCCTCAGCGCGACCATCGCCACGTTGTTGGACATTGGTTGGAACCCTGTTTCAGCCACCCACGGGGGCACCGATGGCGGGCGCTCCTGGCTGATCCCGACGGCTAAGGACGAGAAGCTTCAGGAGATGACCAGCGACTTCACCCTCCTGCTCAGCGACGTCTCCGACTCCATTGACGCGCAGTTGTGGAGGAAGGCGTCGCAACATGCAGCTGCTGAAGATCTGCGTGCAGGTGCCGACCTCCTGCACGTCTCTCGCGAGATTGAGAGGTGCACCAAGGCCGGCGAGTTCGGTCTGATCGGCCTCACCGTCGCCGTCACTTCTGGAGGCCAATGGCCGCGGGCCCGACTCCGTGAAGCAGGCTATGTGATTGTTGCAGAGTGCCCGCGATGCGGGGGGGCTGCAGAGACATTATTTCATTCGATACGGAGCTGTCCAAAGAACTGTGGTCACAAGGACTACGATGACAGCGAGCACCTCATCGAGCAGGCCAGGACGAACTGGGAGGCGAGCCCGTCATTGTGGCTCAGAGGAGTACCGAACCGCCCTGATACCTGCCCAGTTTTCGACGAGGAAAAAGAGCCCGTTGCATCTGAATGTGGTAGCTTCGCTTCCGCCCCCCGCGATGCCGAAGGTTTCGTCACTGTCTTCGGGGACGGTTCGGGTGGTGAGTTTTCGGATGACCCTCGGCGTCGCAGGGTAGGAGCTGCGATAGCTGCGCTCGATGGAAGCCCGTTCGACTGGGAACCGTGTGCGGGGTTTTCGATAACCGTCCCTGGGAAAGTCCAGACTGTCCCCCGAACGGAGCTCACAACGTTCGCCGAGGCCCTCGAGCGCACCGTAGGAAAAATTAAGATATATAACCTACCACCTCCCCATCCTTAGAATCTGGTCCCAAGGCGAGAGTGCGCGCGAGCTTCGGAATGGTGACCTTTGGACCAGGATCTTCAGGGCTGCCAAGGGGAGGAGCGCGGAAGTAATTGTGGAGTGGGCCCCGTCCCACGTTTCGGTTGACGAGTTGGATTGTACCAGTGAGCGTTAAGTTTTCCGTGCTGTCGGCAACGAGTGTGCCGATGCGCTCGCTCGAAGGGCGGCCCGATTTAATTGGAATGCATTCACCCTCGGCGTTGTCCCAGAGACCGACCGCAGGGACGCTGAGGCGGCTTTGGTCCGTAGGAGGGCGCGTAGAGCCTTGGACGAGTGTGTACACGCCGATCCCTGGACCGCGGCTCGCCCCGAGCGCCCCGAGGTGCCTCCCGTGCCCGCCTTGGCCCGAGTGCTGACATCGTCCGCCCACGAGTGGCGGAAGGTCGGCCCAACATTCGTGTGTTTGTGCTGCTCTCGATTCGAGACGAGAGCTTCAATCAAGCAGGCTGCCCTCACCAGGTGCCAGGCCAGGCCAGTGGGCGACGGTATTTCTCCGTTGAAAGGGGCCCCAAGAGATAGGAGGTCAGAGCCTCCACCCCTCCCACCGCCTCCAGTTTTGGGGGCGATATGGCCTGACTTTCTGTGCTGCCTGCGGTAAAACCGCCACCTGTGACCCCAAGTGGCTTGTCGGCCGTTGCACCCCCAGCAGCAAGGGGGACCAGAATCTCACGAGAATTCAGAACGGCCGCTAGCCCCACCCTGGGGGACCGCCGCGTTTCGTCCGCGATGCCCTGCTCGCCCGCCTCGCGGGCCCGACGCCTGAGCAGCCTCAGGACCGCCGCGGGGAGGGAGGGGCTAGCAGCAGTCAGTTTCCCGCCGCCCCCTCGGCAGGTATCGGGGCTTGTGCCGCCCCAGTCGAGGGCTCGGTGGAGGAGGAGGTCCCCGCTCCGTCCTCCCTCGAGCCTCCCCCCCTCGAAGGAGGATATTCGCCAGGCCCAGGAGCTCAGAGTTGTGTCCCAGTCCCTCCGCCTTTTGGAGGCTGCCCGCGGTGGCAGCAACGGCAGAGGTGATCAGGGCTCTGAGTCGGGGTCAGATTAATCCGTTCAATGTTTTAGACTTCTGCTGTCTTTCATGCTCGCATTCCTCGCATTCCTCCTCCTCCTCCTCATCATCATCCTCTGCCTCATCCTGCTCCTCCTGCTCCTCCTCCTGTTCCTCGTCCTCCTCCTCATCCTCCTCTTCTTCCTCCTCCTCCTCCTCCTCACCACCATCACCATCACCATCACCATCACCATCACCATCACCATCACCATCACCATCATCACCATCATCACCATCATCACCATCAATCATCATCATCATCATCATCATCATCATCATCATCATCATCATCATCATCATACTCACCACCATCATCATCATCATCATCATCATCATCATCATCATCAGCATCAGCATCATCATAATCAGCATCACCACCACCATCATCAACATCGTCATCATCATCACCATCACTATCAGCAACAGCATCATCATCATCACCAGCAACATCATCATCACCACCACCATCATCATCAGCATCACCAGCACCAGCATCCGCATTATCAACATCATCAACATCATCATCAGCATCATCATCATCCGCATCATCAGCACAACCATCAGCAGCATCACCATCACCATCATCACCAGCAACATCATCATCATTATCTTCATCATACTCATCCTCCTTAACATCATCAGCATCATCATCATCATCATCATCATCATCATCATCATCGTCACCATCATCATCCTCAGCATCATCACCATCCTCAGCATCATAAACATCACCAGCCGCATCAACATCATCAACCTCAACCTCATCATCATCATCATCATCATCATCAACATCACCAGCATCATCGTCACCACCATCATCATCATCAGCATCATCATCCTCATCATCATCATCATCATCATCAGCAGCAGCAGCATCAGCATCATCATCAATCTCATCATCATCATCATCATCATCACCAGCATCAGCATCATCATCATCATCATCATCATCATCATCATCATCATCATCATCATCATCAGCATCGTCATCACCATCATCATCAGCATCATCATCACCATCAGCCACAACACCATCAGCATCACCATCACCCCCCCGCACCAATCCACCTCCTCCTCCTCCTCCTTCTCCTCCTCCTCCTCCACCTCCTCCTCCTCCTCCTCCTCCTCCTCTCCTCCTCCTCCTCCTCCTCCTCCTCCCCCTCACCCTCCTCCTCTGCCTCCGCCGCCTCCTCCACTGTCTCCTCCTCCTCCTCCTCCTCCTCCTCCTCCTCCTCCTCCTGCGCCTCCTCCGCCTCCTCCCCCCTCTCGTCCTCCTCGCCTCCTCCTCCTCCTCCTCCTCCTCCTCCTCCTCCTCCTCCTCCTCCTCCTCCTCCTCCTCCCCTCTCCTCCTCCTCCTCCTCCTCCTCCCTCCCTCCTCCCCCTCCCTCCCCCTCCTCCTCCCCTCCCCCCCCCCTCCTCCTTTCCCCCCCTCCTCCTCCGCCGCCTCCGCCTCCGCCTCCGCCTGCGCCTCCGCCTCCTCCCCGCCTCCTCCTCCTCCTCTCCTCCTCCTCTTCCTCTCCTCTCCTCCTCCTCCTCCTCCCTCCTCCTCTCCTCCTCCTCCTCCTCCTCCCTCCTCCTCCTCCTCCCTCCTCCTCCTCCTCCCCTCCCCCTCCTCCTCCCCTCCCCCTCCCCCCTCCTCCTTCCCCCCCTCCTCCTCCGCCGCCTCCCCTCCGCCTCCGCCTGCGCCTGCGCCTCCTCCTCCGCCTCCTCCTCCTCCTCCTCCTCCTCCTCCTCCTCTTCCTCGTCCTCGTCCTCCTCCTCCTCCTCCTCCTCCTCCTCATTCTCCTCCTCCTCCTCCTCCTCCTCCTCCTCCTCCTCCTCCTCCTCCCCCTCCCCCCCTCCCTCTCCTCCTCTTCTGCCTCCTCCTCCTCATCTTCTCCTCCTTCTTACTACTCACAGTTGTCTTCTTTCTGCTATTATTATGCTTCCTCTCAATATTATAATTGTTATGACTCCTCCTTCTTCCTTTATATCTCCCTCCTATTCATCTTCTTATTTGTCTTATTCCTCCTCCTCCTCCTCCTCTTCCCCGTCTTCCTCCTCCTCCTCCTCCTCTTCCTCCTCCTCCTCCTCCTCCTTCTCCTCCTCCTCCTCCCCTGCCCCTCCTCCCCATCCCCTCCTCATCCCCCTGGAAAGGGTCGCATGGCACTGCCGCGTCCATCCAGGGGCCGCGTCGGAGAAGGAGGAGGAGCAAGAGGAGGAGTAGCAAGAGGGGAGGCTTCTTGTCCCGGGCATTGCCGGAAAGAGACCCCGAAACGGCTCCCTGTCTGGCGGCGGGAGAGGAAACATGGAAAAGTTTCATATCCTCTCTGTAATTACGCTCCTTCCGGGTTGAGTCTTCCTGTCGCGGAGCGTCCTTACATCCCGAGTTGTTGGCTCCATAGGAGCATCTGTGGAAAGATGGACCCTCCACGCGGCACCCACAACTGCATATAGCTGGGTCCTTCGCCAGGATAACTCCCGACTCTGAGCGCGGGCCACGAGGGGGTCTGCGCAGGTCCACTGGCCCCATTGGGAGCTCCACCGAAGACCCCAATCGCAAGGGTCGCATAGCACTTCCGCATCTTTTCCTGGGCCGTGTCGGAGGAGGCGGAGGAGGAAGAGGAAGAGGACTCGGCCCGGCCAAGGCTGCTGGGTGGTGTACAATCGCCGATCTCTGGTCGGACTCCAGCGTCGCGAGGATCAACAAGCAAGTCGCAAAAAACGGCTGATTAACTTCAAGCCCAGCTCGATATGCGAGCATGCCGCGAAACAATGCCAACTGAACAGGGCGGCGCCGCTGTAAGTGGTGCGCCCAAACTTGGCGGAGACAAGCCCCCTTCACAGGAGCACGCGATGCAACAGCGCGCCGGGTCGGACGAGAAAAGGGTGGCAAGGGGCGGGGGCTCCTCCTCCTCCTCCTCCGCCTTCTCTTCCTCCTTTCTTACCCTTCCTTCTCCTCCTCCTCCTCCTTCTCTTCCTCCTCCTCCTCCTCCTCCGTCTTCTCCTCCGTCTCCTCCTCTGTCTCCTCCTGCTCCTCCTCCTCCTCTTCCTCCTCCGTCACCTCCTCTGTCTCCTCCTCTGTCTCCTCCTCCTCCTCCTCCTCCTGCTCCTCCTGCTCCTCCTGCTCCTCCTGCTCCTCCTGCTCCTGCTCCTGCTCCTGTCCTCCTCCTCCTCCTCCTCCTCCTCCTCCTCCTCCTCCTCCCCTTTCCCTTCCCCTTACCCTCCTCCTCCTCCTCCCTCCTCCTCCTCCTCCTCCTCCTCCCCTGTCTCCTCCTCCCCCTCCCTCCCCTTCCTCCTCCTCCTCCTCCTCCTCCTCCTCCTCCTCCTCCTCCTCCTCCTCCTCCTCCTCCTTCTCGTCCTAATATGCATATCCTCAGGACGGTCTCTGGTGTGCTCCCAGGCCCACAGCAGTCTGTACCCCGAGGAGAGTTATTCATGTCTTTGTGTGCTCTGAAGTGGGCCTCCGATTATGTCATATACATCACTGACAACAAAGCTGTTTTTGATGGGTGGCACAGCGGTCGTGAGATGTCCCCCTCAGGGGAGAATGGAGATCTTTGGGCTGAGGTCGGCCGAGTAATGGCCACCCGTGTGAAAGGTCATGTAACTGTTCTCTTCACGCACAGTCATATGGGGGCCAAAGGGATGTTTGAAGGGATGGCGCAATCTTGGTTGGTCCGTGGGAATCTCACTGCCGATGAGCTTGCGAGTGACGGGGGCTGGCCAGCACCGTCTCCCTCAGCACGTCCGTGGCCCAATCCTGAAGTTAGAGCAGCAAATGTTTTGGATTCGCATGCGTATTTTGAGGGCAACTTTGGATGCGCTCGAGGCGGAAAAAACCTTTCTGAGTGAGTCCGCACTTGCTGTGAGTAGAGGTCGGCACAAGCGGCGGGGGGGGAGGGCTCCTGTGGGGCCTGTGGGCGGCGTGAGCACTGGTGAAGGAACTGCCCTCCATCCTGCTCTCGGCGCGCCCGTCCTGGGGGTGCCCCCTCCGCCGTCGGCCGAGGCCGTTTCAATTTTCGAGACCAGTCACGCTTTGGACGATTCGGGGCGTCGATGCCGCCGCTGTCGAGGTTCAGCCGCAGCGTCCCTGGTCCGAGCGTGGCGGAAAACTCAATGTTTCAAGCTTGTTGCAATTAATGGCTCCCTTAGAGGACTTCCCGAGGGGGCGAGGATACACATTGCTGGGGGGCTCACCCACCCCTCCCATAAAATGCGGCTGCATCAGGACCTGGGAATCTGGTTCTGCGCGTCTTGTGGGATGTATGGGGATCAGCAGTTGCGAGGGCTCGGTAAGCTGTGCCCCAATGAGGTGACTGGCAACCGTACCGAGTATTTGAAGCGAATCGAGCGGGGCCTTTTTCCCAAGGTTTACAGTAAAGCCGAGCTCGCGGCTAGGGCTAAGAAGCCCAGGACCCACAAGGGGTCCTAAAGGTGGTTTTGATTCTGGACTTCGTCCTGGGACTCCTGACTCCTGACTCCTTCTCGTCCTCGTTCCTCGTCCTGGTCTTCCTGGTCTTCCTCCTCCTCCTCCTTCTCCTCCTCCTCCTCCAGGACCCAACGTGAAAGCAAGGACTCGCCCCTGCCTTTCTTTGGGCCAAGATTGTTTGGAAGTCTATATTGGATCATTCTGTTCATAACCCTCACCCGCAGCCTGCTCTGCTATCGCTCGCTCGGCCAGTTCTCGCCAGCCCCCCTTCGTCATGGGCTGACGCGCGAAGACCCTTCGCGGCGGCCCGATCATCGCTGCACCGCATAGGCTGGGCGTTTGCCACGCCGCTCCTTTCGACCGACGCCTCGGGCGGAAGTTGGCCACTCACGGCCTTCTCACCTAGGTTCATCGAGACCAATCTCCGCGATGAGTGGCACAAAGGTCAACTCGGTAACGTCGCCGCAAATATGGGGCTCCCAGCTGGCACCATGCTGGATTTGAGCGTGACCAGGCGCCTAATGCTGGAGAACAGTTTGCTGCGCCAAGAGCACAGCATGTTACTTTCATTGCTGTGCCCAGCCTTGTGGTCTTGTGACCAGCTGAGGAGAGCAGGCTATCAGGTGCAAACGACATGCATTTGCGGAGGTCCTTCCGATTGCATCTCCCACGGGTTGCATCACTGTCCTCGCACCGCCCCTCTGAGGCAACATATGCTCACAGAAGCAGATCGAATTCTGCTTTCGAACCGCCGCCGCAACTTCCCGCTTGTTTGCGGATTCGTGGAACTTCCTAGCCCAGTGGCGATGCCGCCGCAGGGGTCAGGAACGACCCCGTTCCAATTTTGGTGCGGCAACCCATCACTAACAGTAGAGCAAGCCTTTATTGGCGAAGTTTTTACCGACGGCTCATGTTTCAAGGACGGTCCGCACACGTATCACGCGGCTTGGTAGTCAATTTTCCAATTGACGGCCGCCGGAGAATTGCTTGCTGCACTTTGGGGCGCCGCGGGGTCGGATTATCCCCGAACTTCACCGGCAGCCGAGCACATCGCAGTTCTTGCCGTCATGGAGCACTGCCCCCAGGTGTCCCTTATATACTTGGATTTCTTAAGCCTTATTTCGATGTTTGCCGCGCCTTGGCACAGCGTGGCAGCACGTCAGCATTGCTGCGTTGACCTCAATATACAGATTCGCCCACCTGGGGCGCAGGTTTCCGCATTGTGAACGTCCCAGCACATGTCGACCCAGCATCGTTGCCCCAACAGTCACCCGACTGGCACAGAGCCGCTGGCAGCGAATTAGCGGACCGTTTCGCGAAAAAGGGCGCTCTGTCTTTACCTCAGCCGTCAAAGGCCGAGAAGGAAAGCTGGACCGAAGAGTCACCGACCCTTCGGAGGTATGTTTTGTGCGCCGTGCAGGCGCTTCTCCTCTTCCCCAAACCGGCTCCCTCCAAAGCCATGAGCTCGATGTTCGACAAATCGCGCAGGGAGGAGGGCTTTGTCGCAGGGATTGGCGCCGCGCGGCAGGCGCTCCCACACCCACCTCCGCCCCTTCACCCCTGTCCCCGCCCTGCCCCCTCCTGGGCATCGTTCGGACGGCTCGGGGTGGGATCAAAAGTAGCAGGCGCAGGAGGCGAAGCGGCCCGCGGACCGCGCGGAAAGCGAGTGGAAGGAGCATGCCGATGAGCACGCTGGGCAGTCCGGCGTGGAGTGGGTGAGACAATGGGCTCCCCCAGACCAGTGGGATATATAGCAGGAAGGACATCGTGAGGACGATGCCGAGACTGATGCGTAGGTTATGGGCGACGTTTTCGGAGGAAGGTCATCAGGCTGCGCAGCTGCCGATGATGCCACCACCGTACTGCGGAGAAGAAGGCGGCGGAGGAGGCGAGGGAGGAGGCGGCGGAGGAGGCGATGGTGGAGAACAAATCGAATAACCACGTCAGAAGAGGCAGAGGCAGCAGCGCGGTGGCAGGTTCAAGAATTGGCAAAATGCCAAGCATGCCGCGGAGCGACAAGGATGGTTTACCCAGTTCCTGGCAGAGAACCCCGGCCCGCGGAGGCGCAACTAGATGAGGCGCAGCCGTGGGCCTGCCAATGGCTTAGCGCGTGCGCTATATATATATATACACACCCAAAACAACCAAAAACATACACAGTGTTTTGTTGATCCTCAAACCCTAAAACAACAAAACAAACAAAAAAACACAAATACACAGCACTTCCTTGCATCGAGGGCGCAAACCACTGTGTATATTTGTTTTTTGTGTGTGTTTATTGTGGGGAGCAGGAGGAGGTGCAGATGGATGAGGAGGAGGAGGAGGAAGAGGAGGAGGATGAAAAGGAGGAGGATGACGAGAAGAAGCAAGCGATTAATGATTGATTTGTTGTTTTGGTGGTGTGGGGGGGGGGCGCTGGGGGGGGCGACCATATAGCTCGCCCCTACCCCCCCCCAGCGCCCCCAACGATCATCTTTCTCTTCCTCTTCCTGCTCATGTCCCTCCGGCTCACCCAAAAAACCAAAAAAATACACAGTGTTTGGCGCCCTCGATGCAAGGAAATGCTGTGTATGTCAGTGTTTTTTTTTTTTTTGTTTGTTTGGGGGGGGGTCTGATAATCAACGAAACATTTGTTTTGGGTTTTGGAGGCCCCATGCTCGCAGAGCCCTCGGCGAACATGGGGCTCCTAAAACAAGAAAAAACAAACAAACACACACACAAAAATACACAGTGTTTCGTTGATCCTCTGACCACAAAAAAAACACACACAAAAAACAGTCCCTTGCATCGAGGGCGCGAAAAACTTTTTTGTTTTATGGATTATTGTTTTTTTTTGTTGTGTAACATACTATTATTACTATTATTTTTATGGGAAGCATAAGGGTGCTGACAGGGAGGCCGCGGCAAACATGGGGCTCCTAAAACCAAAAACAAAGCAATAGTGTTTCGTTGATCCTCGGACCAAGAAACAACACAGCATTTCCTTGCACCGAGGGGACACCAAACACTATATATTTTTGGGTTCTTTTGGTGTTATGATTTGGGAAGCAGAAGGTTGCTGGCAGGGAGGCCGCTGCGAACATGGGGCCTCCCAAACCACCAAAAAATGTAACAACGCAGTGTTTCGTTGATCCACAAACCAAAAAAAACAAAACAAAAATACACAGCATGTCCTTGCATCGACGGCGCCAAACACTGTGTATCTTTGGTTTTTTTGGTGTTTATTGTGGGGGGCAGGAGGAGGTGCAGATGGATGAGGAGGAGGAGGAAGAGGAGGAGGATGAAGAGGAGGAGGATGAGAAGGAGCAAGCGATTAATTATTGATTTGTTGTTTTGGTGGTGTGGGGGGGGGCGCTGGGGGGGGGGGGGGCGACCATGTATACTGCTTAGCGCCTGCGTTCCAATGCGTTTGCTGCGCTGCGCTGCGCTGTAAG